ATACAATAACGCAGTGATGTCAATTCTTTTTTGTAATGCTGGATTCTTTTCGACGCGCGACATCTACGCGATTTCATTGGCTGATCGCTACACCGTACTTGTGCGTTTATAAGCCCAACTGGCTTCCGGCAACTCCTTAATGCCCTAGTATGCATCATCCCGACGTTGAGCTTGAAAGCAGAGGACTCCCACCGATGCGCGTACCCGTGGCCATGCTCACGTGTGTCGATGTCGTGCGGAATAAGCGTGAAACTCGCCACCGAGTGATTCACACTAACGTCTAACATGTCCATCGAATCTACCTCAAGCTAGAGCACCAGCAGGTTTTCATTGTTTCTGGCCTTTCTCGACTTGCAAGTTGATGGTGACCCCCTCAATGCGCCCCGTGAGACCCACAGCACAACACTTCATGCTGAACTCTGTCTGCATCTCGTAGATTCTGGGGAGACATGCCGCTCCTCGTTGTGCACACGAAGAGGTTGTTCATGTGGGTCGTTTTCACAACTCGGTCATTGGAATCCGAAGATTTGATTGGCTGATTAGATTGGAACAGGACGATGATTGGTGGACGTTACGTGGCACGATTTAGTCGAAGAACACGCGAAAAGGCAACCAACCCTTGTTCACGTCGTCTTTCGTGTCCCCAGTCCAAGCCGGACGCTTGCTCTCCGCCGCGGCTAGCTTGCCATCTGCGCACCGGTCCGCAGTCGCGCGCGCGTGTGTCCTGCCACCGCCTGTGTTGGCGACCTCCATGCATACCGTGAGTCAAGTTCCGACGGCCTGGTCTCAGTGCAAAGATGCTGTCATGCAAGTGGCACACACGTCGACGACGACGTGCCAGGCTTGTGAAACCAAGATCTCGAGCGGCCAACTGCGACTGGGAGTCATGTATCTGCACGTGGATGGGTTCATGCTGGTTGAGTGGATTCACCTGTCGTGCCAGCCTTGGCTCGTCACGGCCTTCGATACCATCAGCTTCATCGACCGCGGGTGTCTGAACGGCGATCAAGCGCAGAGCATTCGACAATGGCTCACGAGTTGCCAGTGCCAACTCACAGAAAGTTCAGCCAGCGACATCTTGGCATTGGAGGCATGGAATGCTGTCGTCCCCATGACCTCGTCGTTGTAAACAAACCCAATGAGTGTTCATTCGCGTCTGTGTTCGACGTGCTCCAGCGTCCGTTGTGCCCTTTCATGGGCGTCCCAACTTCGACCTTGATTGCAGCTTACACCAGATCGGCGCTCCAAACTCGATTCATTTCACAGCTCTCCCTGGCCTAGGCGCTTTCAAGTTCTTCGACCACAGCGACTTCTTGCACGGGGAAATGAGTCAAACAAGCAGCAAACGTCCGTGTCATTCACTTGAAATCATATTTACACACTGTTGAGGTGTACAGAGCAGCGCGAGCATGCCCTATGGGCACATAAACGCCTCGTCACTCTTCCGCATCGTGCGCCTTGGCTCGTAGCGACCACTTGTCTCGCTTCATTTCGATGTGCAGTGGCGCCCAATGGAGCTTCTCCGGAACGACCTGCGGGCCCTTCTTTGTCTGCATTTGGACCATGAGCTCGCCACACGGCAAGTGTCGAAATCACGTACAACTTTGTTGAGCTGCTCGTCCACGACGTCGTCGCTCAAGGCAAACACATATTGACCGTTAAAGTACCTACGCGTTTACAAATGACTCCACCACACCGACAATCCTTTCACAATCGACAGACTGGCGACGTACTTGATCACGTTCAAGTATTGCAACGTGCTGATGATGTCTTCGTTCTTGATCGATGTAAGCTTGGTCAGGTCCATGATGGAAAGCTCCTTGTGCTGGGGCTCCTTCAAAATCCCGAGAAGGACCTTTGTCCAGTAGCTGCGGTAGCTCACAAGCCCAAGATCGGACAGCGGCTTCTCCGGGCTCCCAACCTACTCTGGCCGTGAGAACCCGCGAATACCCTTCCTTTGGAGCAAGGTACATAGCACAACCACCTTTTCTTCCTTCTTGGACAGTTCGTACGAGAACTGAATGATAAAGTTGCCATACCCTTTGCGCTGGTGGCACGGAAATGTCAAAATGCACGCCAAGTTGTACCCGAGCTCCGAGTATTTCTCTTTCGAAAAGTACCCCACAGGGTGAAAGCCCCTTGGCATGCATCAGCACGGGACAGCGATCACGATGCTTCCATACCGCGCATCGACTTCGCACATGACGTAAAACAAGAACGGGTCGACGTCGTAGTGCAGCGTTTTGTGGTCGAGAAATAATCTAGCGTGTATACCCGCATCAGAGCATGCGATCGTCGCGAGCAACGTTCTGACTTGGCAAAGTAGCACAGGTTCTGACAATACGGCTTGGAAATTGCGCCGTCCACCTAGATGTGGACAAAGACAACGACGATTCAGTTTTCAACCGATGACAACGACCGACCTCAAACACGGAAATCCCTTCATGACGGTAGATTTCGTTGCCGGGAGGGTACTACATGAACAGCCCATGTGCATGAATTGGCGTATGAAGGTCTCGAGATACCCTCGCGCATGCAACGCGTTCTTGGTGGTGTCGCAATTCCGTCTTGTACCGAAAAAACGTCAAGCAAAACTCGCAAAAGTAGAGCTACGACCGGTGGTCAATGCATGCCTGGAACACGGCAGCACGGTCACAGCGCCACGTACACAATCGATGCTGCCGTCGGGAAAGTATTCCTTTGGAAATGGCGAAAAATACCATGCCGCCATGCGATACTTACCGATCTCAACGAATCGAATGTTCTACATGTCGTCCAAGATCAAGATGTCCAAATTGACGATTCCAGGACGATGCAGCGTACCTTGACTTTTGTCACTTCTTCGTGCTCTCGAATACTCGCTGCGTCCATTCCTTCGTGCTCATCATGCTCGTCGGGCTCTGCAAAGTCGCTCTGTCGTCATGACAAACGTGAGTGGACGGCATTCCTACAAACCTGGTTGTGACACACTACCTCGGTCTTCCGCTTGTGACCACGGGTGCGACCGCCGTCCTTGGTGTCTCCTTGATCGGCGCTATTCCCGCCCCCTTTTGTATTTGCTGTTCAACTCGCGCAGATATGGAATGTTGATGAAAAAAGTGTGTACCATGCTCTTTTTCTTTTTCCTTCTCCTTGTGCTCCTTCTTCTGCAAATGTTTAATCTCCTCGTCGGTTCCTCGACGCACGACCTCATTGGCATTGATCCACTCGTCCATGCGGCGATTGAAGTCATGCCAGTGCACGTAGTACTTGAATGTGTTGGAGGCGATCTCTTCTACGAAGGAAGTTGTTCGCGGAATCTACGAGCGCATGGAACGTCGTACTTCGATCGATGACGACGCATGTGCGCTCCGTCTCCCCCATCCAAAGGGCTACCAACGTCGAGCCGACAGCATATCCTGAATGCATTGTGGCTGCAGTCGCTGGGACTGCTGGTGCGCTTGGCATTCTTGTTGAATTGCTCTGATTCGATGGATCGATTTGGCAATTTTTTACCGATTTCGCATTCCTACTTTGGAATTCATCAAATATACAATCCCAGATTCACCATTATTCTGCTAAATGAATACTAGTACTAGTATAATGACAGCGTAAAGGTTGAGCTTCATATAACCTGTTAAAAAAGTGTGAATTGACATGTTCAGTGACAAATATTTGTCCAACGTAGCTCCTTGGGTACTAAGTAGTACTACTTCATTATCCGGATCAAGAGGCCACACTATTTGACGTTACAGTAGCATACTAATACCTCGTTCGTAAGTTGCATCGATGAGTTTGCACTCACCGAAGCAATTCCGTCGCAACTGGTTCAGGATTGTGTACGAAGATCTGCTGTACGGTGTGCTAGATTGAAATCCTATTGCGGCGTCTGCAGAGTTGGAGGGGCAGGTAGCAAAGGGAAAACACGGAGTTGAGAAGACTGAGGTTCTCGTAATAAAAGTAGAAGTAGAAGAAGTGACGGTGGGCGAAGCCCATCA